TGTGTGTGTGTGTGTGTGTGTGTGTGTGTGTGTGTGTGTGCATGTGAGTGCAAGTGCCAGGTTTTGCCATCCTATTTTTACTTACCAAAAAACAAATTCACAGAGATTTCAATGTCTTGAGATCTATGAGAACACAGAAACATCACAGCAGTCCCAAGTATCCAGGGTACTCCGTGGCAACTGATTTCTAGAACTTTCATCAATGGCCGGAGATAGCCTAGGGGGGCATCCCTGGTGGCGCATAAGGCAAGTTGCTTGGTGTACTGATCGTCCAGCCTCAGGAAGGAATCCCACACAGACAGACACGCAGACGTGCACACTTGAGTGGTCGTTTCCTCCTCTGAGATCTGGACATCATCCACTTTTTGTACAATCGGGCGTTTCCTCATCTTGAAATGTTGCCTGCTCTAACTGAAAAAAAAAAATGTTAAAAATAAGATCTTTTCCCCAACTTGAACAAAAAATTTTCTGAAAGCACATGTCTACAACAATTGTCAGTTTACAATACATAAAATATATACTCAAAATACATTCAGTCACACCCCCCCACTTCAATACCCCTTCCACAGCACTGTCACCGATGTTCGTTTGTCTTGCTTTGGATTTTAAAATATCCATAAATCATAAATCTTGAATACAAGTCGAGACATTAGCGAATGAAGGAGGTGGGGGGTCACCTGGTTTCAGGGGTAAAGTTAGTGAGAAACTGGCTGCCAAAGATGAGTTATTTCCTTAGCTTGACAGTCTAAGGAAACTGAAAATTTACCTTATTTTGTGCCTTTAATCAACCTTTTTTCAGTAAAATCCTAACAGAAATGCGTTCTTTAATGGGCATGAAAGGTGTTGAGCCAAAAAACAAAAATTCTATCAAAATAAACCTGCAGAAAAATGCCAGTTTCTTCACTTTGATTATTTTGACGAGTGCCTGATTTCGCCATGGTGCTGCCTCACATATTTATGATATATATATTACACATTGCTGGTGCTAAGCCTGAGTTCTTAGCAAGCAAGTAAAATGAGAAATTTCAGTTCTCAAGGTCAGCAACACCAATACTCCGTCTATAGGCCAAGTACATCATATTTTAACTTAATGGTGAAAAGTCAGAAAAGTTGAACAATTTTTAACGGTTATAGAGCTTAGATGTTGGAAAAGGGATTAAAAAAAAAAAATCTTCGGAAGTTGACTGATTATCTAAATATATATACACACCAGCATTATCTCAGGTTCATTTTTAAATGAAACTTTGCACCATATATTGCAAAATTGCAACTACACTTAACACATGACCAGACAGCACCAGTCCCGCAAGAACAATTTTGATCTACAGTCTCATTCCCACTCCCAGTTGTATTCACAGCATTCATTTCAGAAAGTTTGAAGTAACAAACTGCACCATAAAAAAACAACTTAATCATGAACTAGTCTGGTCATAAAGGCCTATTTCTCATCTGTGTGAATAGCATCCCAGGCACCCTTCAGGCTTCAGGAACAAATCCTACCTGGTTATCACAGTTTCATCCGGAGACGTCTTCAATGGAGATAGACCAATCAAAATGTTTCGTTCGTCAAGATCAAGTTTTAAAAAATCTTACACCCCCCCCACCCCTCCTCTTTTTAACCCATAATTTGATATTTTGTAGTTAGGTTAAAAATTTTCTTGAAAATAATTGATTTGCGACAGTTTTATAGCTGCTATATTATATATGTGTGATCTGCAGCAAACAGTACGCAGTTTGACCCCCAAAGCAGTGCATATGAGCGCAGGAGTACTTCTCTGTGTATGTATAGTTTCTGGGTGCTTGCCAGAGACATCGAATATCTTTTGCCAGTTGGTATTTTAGTAATGGTAGCGTCAATTGCCACCGAGTGACGTGGTGGCAATTTACAAAAATTGACTTTTTGTCAATTGCCACCGAGTGGAGTGGTGTCAAGTCTGAAAATTACACCATCTTTAGCTTTATACATAATGTGTGTCTAATGGGTCAATTTGTTCTCAACTAATTTCATTGGATGAGCATCTAGTCTAGAACTACGGTACCAACTTGGCGTGTTTTCGATGAGACGTAGGCCTAGATCTAGGCTAGCCTTAGCCTACACTTTGGTGTAGAACCAACACAGGCAATTCTAGAAGTAGAAGGTCACAAACGCACACAAACTGAAGAAGAAATTCACGTTATACCGGGGAACATAAATCGGGGGACGGGGGTCAGGAAAAGACACACACACACACACACACACATTCACACACACACGCACACTCACACACAAACACACACAGACGGACAGAGAGGCGAACGCACAACACAGAGCACTCGAGCACAATAAGCTAGATCTACCCACCAACGCAAAAGAGCTATGTACAATTTACTTGGTGGCAATTGACAAAAAGTCCATTTTTGTCAATTGCCACCGCGTCACTCGGTGGCAATTGACACTACCTTTAGTAATTTACTATAACTCTGACTCTGGTCTTTTATTAAACTTTTCTCATTCTTTCCAATTCCTTGTTACTGTCTAAGACTAAGAGCAACAGTTTTAGACTGTAAAATTACTCATTTAAAGCTCAATGACAATGTTCTAGATTAGTAACTCACGCAAGCAAATTGGCAACAAACAATCAAACAAACATCTAGATAATCTAGTTAAAGTAAGTCCTGAGCCCCTGACTAAACAACCATTTCATTATTGTACTAATAGTATTACATAATTATATCGCGACCGCACCCACGAGGTCAAGGTCCACGCCCAAACTTCTCTGGAACCACTGACTTTTTTTATTCATCATCAGCTAGGGATAGATCTAGGGGTAAAAACCAGAGTGAAACGATTTTCGAAAGCGGAAACCAAACCTCACCCTTGACCACCCATAAAAATATGGTCTAGATCTAGATTCTACAAATTTCTGAAATCATCGGGACTGTCGTTTCTTTTATGTCATGTCAAGTTATATATATTTATCAACTTACTTGTCTCCAATTATTGACAATCACCAGAAGTACAGTGTGGTACACTCCACTCGATAAGTTTATTTTCCCTTGTTTTCAAACAATATTATAATTTCTTTTAATTGACACCTCTTCAGATAGATCTATACGCCCAGGACATTTAAGGATCGACAGCATAAGTAAAGGTGTCGTAAAAGTGGATTAGATGGTTTCCTTCGATCACCTTTAACCGATCATGAATGATGTACTCACAGAAAGTGTGACGAGTGACGAGGAAAGGAACCAAAATATAAACAACAGCTGTTTCCGGTTCATAGAACGGTGGTCTGGGTATTACTCTCTGGGTCCAAAGAAATAACATTTCAATAATCTAGAATAATACTAAGTATACCAGCTGTATAGATTAAATAATATGATGTAAAAGATTTCATTGTTGCAAGAATATTATATGGTTATTACAGATAATCTTTCTAAAGAGACATGTGAAGCTTGCGTGTTTTGCACAAAAATGGTATCGAGAGTATACTGACGTAAACAAAAAGAAGGACATGGTAACAGAATCTCTAAGGCCTTCGTGAAAGATTCTGGAAGTAGCACATGCTGCAATAGCTTAAAATAAAACCACGGAGGCCTTCACTGGTTTCAAATGGACCGTTCCGTTCATTCTTCGGAAGGAATGGGACACGGTTCCTCCATGGTTTGGAACGGGGCCTTAGATAAAGAAAATAACAATAGCAATGAAAATATTTCGTCAAGCAATGAGAACGTTGGGCCCGTCATCAGGATACTCGAGATAGAGGCCAAAATCGACAAAGAACCAACTCAAGTTGATGAAAGCTCGTCTGCAGTCTTGAAATACCGAACGCCCAACTTCAGGTTAGTCAGATTTGGCCTAGCTGAAGTCTTATTTAACTGAAAGTTTATCTCTAGATCTAGATCTAGATCTAGTAGTAGTATGAAGTACGGCTGTGGTCAGGCTAGTCACATATCAGCCGTTCGTTGCTTTCGTTGCTTGCTTTCGTTTCTTATCCTTCCTGCACGTTGTTTTCACACTCTGGTATCTGTAGGTTAGTGCTCATGGGACATGGATCTGGCAGTTTGAAACCAATCTAGGTTCATAGAGAATTTATGTTCCTTCCAGACCATGTCAATCCTATTCTTGAAAGCATTCAATCATTCAAGGATGGTGCAGACACCACATTTTCCGGTAGTGAATTCCAAGCGTTAACTGTGCGTATGCTGAAGAAGTTTTGGCGGACTGCTGTTTTCACATGGTTTTGTTTTTTTCAATTTTAGACTGTGTCCCCTGGTGTTAAGGTGAAGATCGCGGGGTAAAATATTTCCCGTTACGTTGTAAATTCCTGTTAAATACTTGTAACATTCAATCATGTCGCCTCTAGCTCTCCGATAGTACAGCGATGGCAGATCCAATTTTCTGAGACGATCGCAGTAAGCAAGGTGCTGTAGTTCAGGAATTAGTTTGGTGGCCCGACGTTGCACTTTTTCAAGTTGTTCTTCATCACCTTTAAGTCTGGGGTGCCAGACCACATTTCCATACTCTAGATGAGGACGAATGACTGATTTGTAGAGAGTAGAAAGGGACACTTTGTCCAGCATTGTGAAACCTCTCCGGATCAGTGCGAGAAGATTGTTAGCTTTGTTGACCTGGATACTCACGTGTTTGCTGACTTTTCGATCACTATCAATATTCACACCTAGGTCTTTTTCTAGTCTCACAGATTCTAGAGTGATGCGTTCACCTTTGGATGTCATTTTGTACTCGCATGGGTTTCTATTTTTCCCAATGTGCATAACCTTGCATTTTTCTGCATTAAACCTCAATTGCCATGCATCAGACCAGAGCTGGAGTCTGTTCAAGTCATCCTGGAGGTTGTCCGAAAAGTCGAGTACTTCAGCAAAAATCTTCGTATCATCCGCCGCGAACAGAAAAGTAGCAGAGAGGATATTTTCAGGGAGGTCATTGACGAAGCATACAAATAGAAACGGACCTAGCACACTTCCCTGAGGGATTCCCGACTGCACATAATTAGATCTATTAGTAGATCTAGGTTCTATGAGTACCCATGGCATGGCAATGCAGTTCCACTAGAGTTGGCTGCAGTAGATATAATCTAGAACTATACAACTAAATCTCTAATCTATTTATAAACTGCGCAAACGACCGTAATTTTGTCATGTCCAGGTATAGTGGCTTTCGGTCTCCCATAAAAGCATGGGGTGCCCAACAAGTATAAACTTTAATTAATAGTGGTCGCTCGTTACGGAAGTCCTCCCTTATTTGCTGTTGGACCCCCCCAACTTTTTTGTTTTTCATTTTACAGGATGACTTGCACAGTGCCAGTGCACTTCTACTTTCACTATACTTCAAGCTTGGACTTGAAAGAAAGCCAATATAATATTTTTCCTGACGAGCAATAATTGTGTTTCTTGACATCTGGATTTGTATTATCCATACCCTGTGATAGCCTAGTTCTACTATGTTAAAAGGCTATGTCTGCTGTCACCACCACATGTCTTCACCTGGCCATTATAATTGTGCAAGATTAAAAGATTTGGTAAACACATCATGGATCGGTATAGTCTGCTAGTGTTCTCTCTTGAAAAGTGACTTAGGAAGTTTTAGACTGAGCAGTCAAGATCATGCTTTTATTTTTTGTTTTGCTTCACCTGACCCTACTTCCCACATGGGTGAGTAAAGAAATTGGAGTTTCTCATTTTGCATGTATGGCAATAATGTATAATATATACACAGTTAAATCTGACCTAGTTTACTGTAACAGCCATCTACATGTCTAAGACAATCACCTGTATGTGTACTGTACAAACGACCACGCCCCCCCCCCCCCCTTTTTTTTTCACTGTAATGACACTGTCCAAAAGGTCCACCTGTCTAAGACACCCACTTTTCTACTCGACGATGGGTGGCCATTTTTATGATTTTGGACAATTATTGTGCAGTTTATGTACATTTATGAATGTAGTTTGTTAGACAAGTAATAATAATAATAAAGTGCATTACCCTGCTCGACAGCAAGCTGTCGCGCTTTGCACTATATTTGTTCCCATGCAGACCCTATAACACTCAGAAACAGTTTTCGGCTTCCCGGGAAGCTACAGTGCAAGCAGCTGATTAAACGCTCAAATACTAACAAACTGACAAGATCTTTCGCTATAGTCCTAGAGCTTTCTCTCAGCTCTCTGTTTCGTCTGTAAAGATGAAGTTACCATTTTTTAAATGTCTACGTGTTCAACATCAACTCTAAAAAGGGGCAAAAATCATGCATAATTCAGGGCGAGTGCTACAGTGGAAATTTCGCCCTTCTCTGACAATGAAGCCTGGAAGGTTGGCTGGATCCAGGCATGCACTGATATGACATTTCATAACACTTATGGCAAGGAGGGATAGTGAGTTGTTGAAGTGATGAAATTTGTTACAAGAATGAAGTTTACTTGTTGTGTTGACTTTCAAATTTCCCTATTGATGGAATTGTTGTGAAACAACCAACTTTTGATTTGATCTTTTTCTATTTATTGTTTTTGCGGCTTTGATTTTCTTCCTTGTGTTTGAAGAAAATATTTGATATTCACCTTTTTTTTTTTCCATTGAAAGACTGCCACAGATGTTAAGATTGATATTAGATGAGTCAGTGGACCTTTATTGCAGCAAATATTTGAAACATGGATGGAGTTCCTGAGACTTGTTGGAAAATTTTTTACTTCTAACTAGATTACTTTGTACATTACCTACGATACTGGTACTATTTTATATACAAAGTACTTCAAAGGAAATTGATAACTAGAATGTGATGGAGCAACATCTAATTGTTAATTTTATGCGCATCTGTTAAAATTATGCATGAGGCAAACATACAAGTCATTAAAACTGGTGAAGAATCTCATAAAAGTTCTATTGAATCCATCATTCTTACTTAACATTTATTTCCGGTCTAACTTCAGTCAATTTTTAACCTTTAAAAATTTGTCACCAGTGTGCGTATAAAGTACATTTTAAAAAGAATTATCTGGAAACCGGTTTAACTGCAAAACTCTTTTTTTTTGTATTTTAGTTATCAAAGTCTTTGACAGTCTACTCCCAATGCCTCGTTGTGTAATTCACATCATGATTTTTCTGAACTACTTGGTGGGTTACATTTCTGATTTATGCCATAAATGTATGAGTCACATCCTCAATGACAAACACCCCCCCCCCCCCCCCTCCTGCACTCTCAGGGGATACGACATCATCTTATGTCAGGAGTACCAGGTAAAAGATGTTTAGCCCATTTAGAAAGCTTTAGTCTGCAGTACATTGTGGTAAAGACTTGCGACTTTCTTTCCCAGTGGAAAGTTTCAATGTTCTGCTGTATCCGCCTCCTAATCCTACGTTCTCTGTCGTCCAGCACCAGCTGGGAATTCCCTGAGCTCACGTCGGGCAAACAGACCATGATCTCGGACTGTGACGGTCGCCACTACCCGTGGTACGGCTCCCGCAACGAGACGGTCATCTTCAAGGGGCCCTGTGACCGTTACCAAACTGCCACGGTGTACATGAACGACAACTTCCACCCGCATGTTACCTGGAGAAACCCGGCCAATCGTCACCAGCTGGAACCCAACCTGACGCACATCATCAGGTGAGGAGAGAAAAGTGACCCCCAGTGGCGATTGTTTTTCATTAAAACACCCAAGATGTATACTGAGACAAGGACTTGAAAATCGATTATAAACTAATGCAAGGGAATAAAAAAGATGCTTCCGCAATTGCAGAATGGGTCAGTTGTTTTAAAAAAATGTATTTTGCTGATTTAATCGTAACTGATGCAGCGATGTTGTAAATGGTTTTCATGTGTATGTTCACAATTTTGGAGACAGGCTGCTTCCAGCCTAATCTTCGGCACTTATATTATTATGATCTAATTGTGTTGTAAGTACCGTAAAACTGCCTATGCCTGTGTGTCGAGCCACCAAACATTTTGATTGTAATGTAAAACAGCAATTTCTTTGAAGTAGAGCTTTGTTCTGCCTTATTGCATTTTTTATATTCTAATGACACCATCCAAGACATTCTCTTATATATCTGAGACAACCACTTTTCTCCCCAACAGTGGGTAGCGGTCTTGGAAATATTAAATTTTGACTGGATTTCAATTTCACAGGTTGCTTACATTTACCCCCCACTTCCTCTACTGACTGAAGTGTCTTTAGGCCATTCCCAAAGGGGGGATATTAACATGTTCTTAAGTACAGTAGAATTGTAAATGGGCTGATTTACCAATGTCATGCTCATACTGTTCCCGAATAACATAGGGGGAACTGCTGCTTTTTCTTTTCTCATCCTTACTATCATCATTTATCCTCCACTTCTTTTGTGTGTCACTCTCTTGTCAACTGCTATTTCCGGGGTGCCTTGATGGTTAAAGCAGACTTTGTGCTGTTGAGGCTAGAGAGGTGAGTAGAGTAAGCCTGATTCCCGGTTTGGACTTCTCTGTTGACATCCATCCCTTGGCGCTCATATGACTTTTTGCACATGCAAGCGCCGTAAAACGTTACTAAAACTAAACTAAACCTCTCCCTTTATAAGAAGCAGTGGTAGATCCATATATATATATATATATATATCTTTATGTTTTCCTTCTGTTTCCCTGCAGAGACCAGAGCTTCTACGTGTGGCTGGTGGCCTGGAACATGGTCACCATGAAGAGCTTTGTCATGCAGACCATATCCTGGTGCATGCAGCTCGAGATCGCCATCGACCCGCGGCGCCCCCTGGGGGAGCGAGCCACGCTCATCAGCAACCCGGTGCCCCGCCAGCCCATCATCCTGGACTACAATGTGCCCATCCCGCGCTGCGCCCTCACCCCGCCCTGCGCCAACTCCGCCCAGATGCTGGTGTGGCACCCGCGCCGCGGCAAGCCGGTCTGCGTCATCCCGCCCGTGTGGAAGAGCCAGAGCCGCAGCCCGAAGAGGGAGAGCAAATTGTGATTTCCAGAACATCTGCAGAAGTATAGTGTCGAGCAAATTGTGATTCCCTGCACGTCTCCAGAAGTATAGTGTCGAGCAAATTGTGATTTCAAACAAGATTGCAGAAGTTTAGTGTCGAGCAAAATTGTAATTTGGAGCATGTCCGAAGAAGTTTAGTGTCGAGCAAAATTGTAGTTCCGAGCATGTCCGAAGAAGTTTAGCGTAGGATTTTAAAAACTTTTTAACCTTCTAGTGCCCACAACAAGAATATTGGCATAAAAATTGGGCTTTCTATTGATGTGATGAGGACCCAATGCAGATTAAAACCACTGAGGTTAATTCATTCACTTAACTATACATGTGCATTTTGAACCCCTTCCCCCCCCCCCCCCAAAACCAGAACAATGAGACAGACAGAAAGGGAGAGGGAGAGAAATAGGGAGAGGGGGTGATAGAGAGAAGGAGGAAAAAAACCAAATGAACTTTGAAAACAAATAAACAAGTAGACGAATATAATGCATATTTGAAACAGAAAGAGATGAAACAAGCAAAGTGATGAATGCAGAAACGGGAAATTCACAAATTAAAATCATGCGATGGTGAAAAAGAAATAAATGAATGAATAAATAAATAAATAAATAAATAAATAGATAAATAAATGAATAAATAAATAAAGGAATAAATAAATGAATAAATAAATAAA